AGGGGGAACTTCCAGGCGTACGGTCCGTTAGTTCAGGCCCGACCCGTTGTAATGTGTTACAGAGTGGGAGGCTTCTGGGCCGCTTTATCACATTGTCAGTTCTACGATCATTTATCACCTTATAGCACCATCCACCACTACCACACTGTCTTCGCCATACGAACTGTAAGTCCAAGGCGGCGGATCCAGCCTTCAGGGACCCCTCCTCATCCATTCACCCGAACACCCGAAGAGACGGAGGGTTCGGCAATCGCCACCAATCCAGCGTGCGAATCTGGTCCATCAACTGTGACCTCAACTCCACATCTCAGCAGCTAGCCATAATCTCGCGCTCCCGACTAGTTCGGGGGTCTCCCCAGGAATCGAACCCAGGACCTTAAACCGCTAATTGCAGTAGTGTCAACCCAGACCAGACCCGTTGTGGATAGTGTGTGATGAAGACCACAGCATGCCTACGCATACCAAGCAAGGGTAAACCAAGAAATGCCAAATTGAGGATGCAACGCCTTGCATCTACATCAGCCCCTAAGGCGCTGGGCATTGTCTAGGGGGATTTTGAAAATCCACGCTCATGATCAGCGCTCCCACGGCGAACCCGTCATGCCTTGCGATGATAGTCCTGTCGCACGTTGCGCATGCAAGCAAATCAGGACTTCTGCATTCCATCACTTGGCAGCCTTGGGGGTTCTGCTTGCCTACTGTGAAGCTTTGAACCTTTGACTGCTAAACTGACAAGGTCTGCGAGCAGTAATCTTGGACCTTCATGACAGACAAATAATGTCAACGGACATGTCGGGGATGCTCAGGTTGGCAACTAAAGCTTCATATCTCGCTCGCTCGTGGCTCTCCCTCTCGCTTAACGTACGGCATCCCGCGTTTTGCGATTTGTATCCTTTTTGTCACCGTGAGCATGCAAATTAAGGGAAGCGCATTGCAGCCGAAGGCAATCATGGATCAGGTCGGTAACTAGCATAGCCATGAACTTCAAGGCTTACCTCGATAAGGTTGTCCGAATTTTTTCCACCCCGCTTAGCGGGAGTAAGCGGAGACGCGATGATAACCATCATACTGATCACGACGAGGAACGGAAAGCCCAAGCGGTCAGAGTAGGCCAAACCAGTGTCACCGGCGTCGACGCAGTGAAGTCGTCGCAAGCAGCTATTGAGCCTCCAGCTGGGCAACCTCCATCCCAGCCGCAAGATCACGGAGGAGCTCATGATCGCTTGCAAGCTGGAGCGTCAAACAATTTCTTCAGCTTTGACATGGCTGGCAGGGTCCGAGACCTTGCGCCGCACAAACCTGCCATGCAGAACGGCATCATGGATTCCACAAAATTCTCTATAGATCACACCCAGCAGCAGCCGCAGCCAGCCCAACAGCCGGAAAATGCACTCCCAATTCCATCTGGTCAGCGACCAGCTGCGCCGCTTACCTTCGCAGTGGGGCCAGGCGCCGCGGGACCTCGCCGGCTTTACCAGCCCTCCAACGTCCAATCGCAACAGCTTCAACAGCAACCACACGTACAGCGGCAACCCCTAGGGCCTTCGTTGCTGCACGGCAGTGCCCGCACTGCCGTCCCGCCGTCCCACACCACGCCAGCTGCAGGCCTAGCATTGAACGGGGCCCCCACCCGCCCAGGATACCACGTTGGCACTCCCAAGCAGCTCTTCGCTACACCCGACAGCACTCGGCATCACCTTGACAACCTTCGACTGGGGCCCGGCACGCCGACCGGCCGGCCCGCTGGCGGGGCGGCAGCTGATGCTCCGTTGCATTTCCCCATAGGAGCCACCAGCGGGGCAGGAGCTTACAGTGGTGCACCCGGTGGCGCAGCGCCATCTGCCGGCCCTCGCTTACCCACATCAAGGCCTTTGGTATTGCCGTCGGCGTATACGCTGGTACGTGGGTTGGGGCTGGAGAAACTCTGGATTGAGTTCTATCTGATGGAAAGGCTGCTTTTCGGCGGCATTTCATTAGGGGGGCCCCCATGGGGCCAAGGATTGGTGTGGCATCAGGGTTCATCCATGCGGCAGGTGCCGGGGGACAGGGTGAGTTTACTGAGCTGACCAGCCATCTGTGTCCAGAAGTGCTGTGAAATGCTGTGAAGTTTTGAAGGCAAAGAAGGGTTTACGTCTCGGAGGCAAACGTGCAGTATCCAGGACAGACGGGGATTCTGGTCAGTCGCCGCATTCCCACTTCGTCATATTATGTGGGCCACTATAAAGTGGGCCATTATACTTCCTACCCCTAGCTCCTCTCCGCGTCCGCTCCTGCTCTCCGCGTGCCTTGCAACCAGCTGGCTTCCCACTGCTGACAAAATTACGTCCTCTCCCCACCGCACGGGTTACTGCGTGCTGCCCTTATATTAATACCACCAGCATCAGCACCATCATCGGTTACAGCAAGTTCCACAGCAGCAGCAGCAGCCGCAGCACTTGCAGCCGAGGTTGCCGTTCCCCCTGTCATTCAGTTGGGCGTTAAGGGAGCTGGGTACGGGCCAGGCGCTGACGGAGGAGGAGTTCAAGGCTTTGGTGCGGGAGTGGGAGGTGAGGAATGGACACGTCGGAGCCAGGAGCCATGATGAGGGCGCCGGGAGTAATAGTGACTACTTGGGCACAGGAGCCTTGTAAACGGTGTCGAGGGTGGGGAAGAAGTAACTGGCGTCGGTTTAACGCGGCAAATGGGAGCGGGGGTCTTTCCTCAGATGTATAGGCCTCTTCCTCCCTGAGGTGAGGGGCCCGTGAGGGTTTTCCAACCCAGTGGCCTGGGGAGGTCCGGTAAGCCTAGGATATATTTATTGCCTCAGGGGGGCGATTTCGTCCGGTGCCATGGCGTGCCATCTTGTGGGGTCAGGACTGCCGTGGTCAAGGCGAGATAAGGTCCCTTCCGGGTTAGCGGCACAACCCCCACCCCACCCAACCGCTAGCGGAGTGTCAGGGGTTTGTTTTTGACATCCTCACAGCATTCGACTACAAACCAAATCTTACGTATACTGTCCTACATTATTGGTCTAATCTTGCAGTATCCTGATCCTATGTCTATGATATTTCTTTTCGTCAATCGTCTACACTTCGTCGTACCCCACAATCATCATCCCCACTTTCCCGCGCGCATGTGTCGTAACGCTCCAGGCCCGAAAACTCCACCGGCCACCTGCTGTGGTTCCCCTGAGGGAGGACGGCGGCTACATCCCCGGGGACGACGAGGAGGAGAACGCCAAGACGACCGCCCTCGCCAATGACGCCCGCGCCACGGTTAACAAGCTGCGTAGCACCATTGCGGCCACGGTGCGAAAGGCCAGTAGTGATGCGCGGGTCGCCGCGGCAGCCACCAGCAGCCAGGCGGCGCGCACGGCCCTGGAGGCGAGCCAGGCAGCTGCGGGGGCGGAAACGCTGGCGTCCATCGGATTCAAGGTGGGCTAGGGATTCAGGTTTTGAGAGGCTTGGGAGGCAGTTGTGGCAAGCCCCGCAGATCTGGGTCCCCCTGATCTGCGTCCACCAGGCTCCGTCGCCGTGCTCAGGCGCGACATGGCTCGACTTGCGGGCACCATTTGTACCTGACGGCGCAATCCTCCCCTGACGGCGTCCGTTCAACACCACCCTCTGCTCGGTCCGCCCCAATCGCCATTCCCCCCATCCCCCAGCTTCACTCGCTCGTGGTTCGCTTTTCCCCCCATTCCCCATCCGGCCTGTTCGCGCTCCCGCGCGGTGCAGGTGGCGGTCCAGGAGGAGGCGGTCAAGAGGTTGCACGCGGAGTACGAGAAGGGTACTCAACGGCAGCTGGAGGCGATGCGGGTAGGTGGCTGGGTGTGGATTTGGAGTCGGTCCAAGTGCGTGCAGAGGTGAAAGGCCATGACCAAGATTGGATGCGAGCCGGGTGCTGCACCTGCTGCGGCATGGTTGGCTTGGCAAGGCAATACCGGGGAATGCAATTCTAATGTGTGTGTTGAGACGAATTCCCCCGCCGCCACCTGCAACGAATAACGCGCAATAGGAGAGTTGTCAGCTTCCATTATTCCACTCATCCGACTTCTGGCCGCATGTATGTATGTTTATACGGAGAAGCGAGAGCAAAACGATAGGGATGGATACCTCCGTTACCAGCGTTGCATGTTGCCAACTTTGCCAATCTTTACAAATAGGACTCCTATTTCCACGTGCTGCATGTATCGTTTTGCATTGCGTAGGCCGAGCGGGCAGCACGACGAGCGCAGCTGGAGCAGCAACAGCAGCAGCTCCGTCAAGGACTTATGATGTTGCAGCCGCAGCCGGCACCGGCCGCCGCCGCCGCTGCTGTGGCTGCCACAGCGGCGGCATGGCCTGCGTCGCGGCAGCAACCAGAGCCGCAGCAGCCGCCTGCGACCGCGCCGGGGCCGAAGAAAGCAGGCAGGTCCGCGCCTCCGCCGAAACCCAAACCACCGCCCAGGAAGCCACAGGATGATGATGTGGTGGATTTGCTGAGCAGCGATGACGACGAAGAGGAGGAGGAAGAGGAAGAGGAGGAAGTGGAGGAGGTCGAGGTGCGGTATGGGAGGCCGAAGGATCGGGCTGGGCGTGGGCGTTGTGGTGATGTGGAGTAGAAAGGGTCCCCAGGAAGACTGACAGCATCGTCCTTCTGTCTGAGACGTCTGAAACTGAGTTACCAGGATTTGACAGCTTAGTGGATATGTCTTGGCAATTCCGACACACTAGGCTCAGGGGCCATGCCTAGCTTCAAGGCGCCCCCTCAGTGCTTTGCATTCGGTCGCCACGGCGTTTGCAGAAGACATGCAAACCTCCGCAGAACACACGGCTTTATGTCAGAGCTGTGCTACGGGTGCGGGCCTATCTCATTTTCAGGATGACGAAGACGGCGGGGTGGACGACCCGTACGGCGTCGAGTACGGCGGATACCCTGGTGAGGAGCGTGGCGGTGGCAATCCTGGGCTGCGGCAGTCGTCCCGTGCAGAGCGCTCCACGTGGCGCCGTACGATGGACTCCAGGGCGGACCCTGCCGAGGTGATGGTGGACTTCCGGCCGAACAGCGTGTTGGTGATTGAGCTGCCTCGCGCCAAGCTGCAGTGTATGGACCTGGGGGTGTGGCTGAATGATGAGGTCATCAATATGTACATGCTGCTGCTGCAGGTGAGAGGGGCCAAAGCTTTGGTGGGAAGGGATCATTGTGCACTTGAAGTTGTGCTCTTAAAGCTGTGCAGGGAAGCATGTGTGCACAATGTAAGCATGGGTGAATATGGGCATTCTGTGCAATGCAAGCATGCCGATGAATGGATGGATGGATGGATGGCGGGATGGATGGATGGATGGATGGATGGCGGGATGTTTGGTGGCATAGGTCAGGGGCTTAAAGATAAAATCGGACCCAGGTCTGGCTCCTACGCAGACGGCGGACAACGCGGTGTGAGTGCTACTTTCTGTGCATGTTGTTTACACGTAGCGGTGGGCATGGATCTTTTGTGATTGCTGGCCAGCACTGTACATCCACCGGCAGTGAGCTGTCCTGCTCGAAATCCTGCACTTCGCTCATGAAGAGCTCCCCAGACTTAGGGGCCATTTTCTTTCCCATGACGCGTTTCCCCCCGATATCACACGCACGCCCGTGCATACCAAGGCGCGGGATACACGGCTCCGGCGCGCAGCGGCCGCTGGAGGTAACGCTGCTGGGGGTTCCGCCTCCTCCCCATACACGCCGCCCCGCTGCCACTTCTTCAACAGCTTTTTCTACAACAAGCTGTTCCAGGTTAGAAAGGGACCACTGGATTTGGACCTGCCTTTCGGAGGGTTGGCGCCTCGGCTTCGGCTTGTGGGCCTCGGGGTCTGATGTGCGCTCCGGGTTTCCGAGTTTGCCACTGCTGGAAACGGGAGCAAGGGATACGTGCACCGCATCTGCGAAAGCAAACAGAGCCGGGTTTGCAAAGTGTTCTGGTCTAGGCTCGTGCATGTTCCGGACTTGTCCCAGGAGGCAGACTGACTCCTGAATCATACTTTCTAACCTGCATTAACACATCGATTCAGTAACCCAAATGGACAGTATCCGCATCCACATTTCGTCCTTTGGACGTCGGAAGTTGTTTTCTGGCACTTTGCAGCTGATCGCACCCGCGTATCGAAACCCCGCAGGACGAGGGAGCTTACAACTACGCCAACGTGCGGCGATGGACAACTCCCAAGCAGCTCAGCAACAAGCTGCAGGTGGGGCGGGGCCCGGTTAGAGTACCAAGGAATGCCATTAAGGGTACTTGGGTGCATCCATCCAGTTCGGGGCTTCTGAATGCCAGTTTGGATAAAGGGTAGTTGCGTGTGAGTGCGTGCACTTGTGTGCATCCAACACACGGAGACCCATGCCCCGGCAGGCTAGCTGCACTTATTAGGTGATATGATCGGATTCCGGCCTCTGGCTGCGAGAGGGAAGCCTAACATGAAAGCACGCATATGGGCACACACTCACACGAGCCGCACAAGTATATATTGTGTATACTCATGTGCATATTTTTTATCTCTTCGCGGCTGTCGTTGATGGCACCGTCCAAGCACGCCTACTTGGCTGGGTGAGGGGAGGATCGTTGGGGGAATAGAACACCGTTAGGGATCCTTGGCGCGGTAGAGACCACCGAGTTGCTGGTTCCTTTACGCAGGTCCTCGGAATCCATACACTCTACGGTACCTTTTGCTATTCCCCATTCCCGGGTGTCGTTTTTCTATGTTTTATCCCTCCTGTTCTTTTCGGCGCTGCGCTGCACTTTTATCAAAATTCTGTTTTTGTGCCTTCCGCGCTCGTCTCCTGCCCTACATTCCCTCTGCCCGTGCCCCTGGCAGGAGTCTTCGGGGATTTTGGAGCTCGACCGCATCATCATGCCCATCCACAAGGGAGTGCACTGGACGTGCGCTGAGGTGGATCTACGGGCCCGGGTGGTGAGGTACTACGACTCGCTGAAGGTGGGCAGTGCGGGGTGTAGCCGGCCGGGTCGGATGCGGTCCAGGAAAGGAAGGGGAGCAAGAAAGCCTGTGGCGGTGAGGAAGGGCGCTTGCTAACCTCGTTGCCCAGGGCCGCCCTTTCTCTCTCCCTCTCTCCTTACGCCTCTCTCCAAAGCACCCTCCCGTCTCTTTGTGTGCTCTTTCTTAGCCCTGTCTCCCTCTACTTGCGTCTTGTGAGAAGCCTTTCTGCGCACATGAACCAGGGTGAGGACCACGCCCTGGTACGGCACCTGCTGAGCTGGGTGTCGGATGAATCTGCGGATAAACTCAAGCAACGGTGCGTCGGGTTCGTGGCATGGCAAGATGCGATCGCGGCAACAGCTGCAGCAAGGGGAGAAGAAAGAGGGCAAGAAGGGCCAGTTATCTATCAGTTATCCGTCGACATAGTGCATCCCTACCTTATCCGCAACAATCAAACTGCCCTCCCTGCTGCAGCTCCACGCCCTGTCATCTCCACGTCACACAAACGCTGCGCACCACCACCTCAACCGTAATGGCCTCGCAGGTGGGATACTTCCAAGTGGCAGGTCGAGTTCCCCAAGAACATTCCCGAGCAGCACAACGGCTGCGACTGCGGCGTGTTCTCCATCATGTTCGCTGACCGCCGCGGCGCAGGGCTGCCGTTTGACTTCAGCCAGCGAGACATGCCGCTGCTGCGAATCAAGGTGCTGCAACGCATCGTGCAGATGCGAGTCGATTGATTGGAGGAGGAGCTTGGGGGGGGGGAAAGGCGGGGTGGATGGCTATATGAGGCGGCGTGGTCGGCAGGCAGGTGGGGCTGAGCAGCTGGGCACTTGTGTAGGAGACGGTGTGCGACCGAACTGACAATTGAGAAATGGTACGACAGGGGTTTGCGTCTTGGACTCAACCGCTAGAAGGGGGACATGGAAGACTTTTGACGTCCAGGAAAGCATGGCGGGCGGGCGGGGAGGGCACATGCAAGGGTCTCGCACTTGGCGGCTATGGTTTGAGGGGAAAGACGAACCACGAGCGAGTGAAGCTGATGCCAAGGAAAAACTGCTGCGGCAGATGTAGAGAGAGGGTTGGTTTCGGATGGAATGCGTGCTGAATGGAATGCTCATTGGCAAGCCATGCGTGCCTTGAGCACGCGCGTGGTGCAGGCACGTGAGAATGGTGTAAGGCTAGAGCCCCCGGTGTGAACCTTGCAGATGCAAAAACCGTGTACAAGTGCTTGCTGGGTTGGACCGACCTGACCGTTTTCATCCGCCCGCTATCTTCTCCACCTCCGGGGGCTCCGCGTCCTCCCCTTTTGACCGGGGGTGGAGAATCCGGGGAAGGAGGGTTGGTTGGATTGAAGGGGGGAGGGCCAAATAGCAGGGGACAGGCGGGATGAGGAAGTTGTGAGGGTACCGGCTTTGGGGATTATGCACGAGGAACGGTGCACGGCGGAAAGCAGACGGAATATTGTCCGTCAGCGCTTCGACTGGCTCTTTAACTATCAGTTCTATCGGTTCATCCGCCATATGCGGTATCTTCTACCCTCTTTTGTTTACATACCGAATGTCCACTTTCGAAAGTCCGTTTTGCGCCGTAACGTTCTCCCAAAACCACTATGGACGAGAGTCAGGGAGCGGCTGGTAGGCAGCACCCTGGCGGGCACCTGCTTGGGTCTTGCCACCCCACAAGCTGCCTGTGCCACCCCCAGCATGACGAGACAGGATACACCGGGCCGCCACTACCGTTACGAAAGGTCCAGGGGCCCCTCCGCAACGTTGCCGGCCAGATAGGTGGTGACTACAGTGGTATTGTGAACTTGCCATAGGGCAGTAGTTCCTGTCTGGGGTGGCAGCTGGGGATTGGTGCGTGGTGGATCGATCGCAAGTGATGGTGAGAAGGCCAAGGAGTCCTTTGCCCGTCTCGGTGGTAATGGTGCACGCTTAGGCGGTAATGGTGTATACATATTAGGTGATGGTAGTAATGGCAAAGCGAGGATGTATGCATGTAAGGAAGGTGGGAAAAAGCCTTGAGCTGACCCGGTATGGTCATCGTGCTTTTTTCTTTGAGCAGATCAAGATTACGTCGACCGGCAACATACAAGCACCCAACTGACAGGCACAGCCAATTGTTCTGCACGAGTGAGAGGTGCAGAAGAAGAGAAGGGTGGAAGTCCCGGTGCACCACCGGTGCTCACCCCGGGCACCTCCGGATGTACCTCCCCCCGCAGCCAGGAATGGCGCCCGCTCCACCCCCTACCCACAGGCGAACCTCCGTACGACCTGGCCCCGCCGTGGATGGCCCACGCGAACGAATCCCCCGGCCTTCTGGACAGACCCAGATCTCGTCAAACGGAATCCATCATTTTGTTTCATGCTCTGCTTCGTCCCGGATCATTTGGTCCTCCAATTTCGTGTCCGTACACGTACCCGAGCAGAATGATGTGTTTAGCAGCAGGCACAGCCGTGTCCGCTGATCAGATACATTCGCGCGGGAAGCCCGCCGACATTTTCGTAGGCGTGAGGTCTGTGCACGACGGCGCGAAATTTGTTTTGCAGTTGTTCTGCCAAGTCCCGTACAGCCTTTGGGGTAAAGAAGCCAAAGCCCAGGACATCCATCATACATCAAAGCTCTAACGGAAAGGTTGGAGGCAAATTGGAGGCATAGTCGAAGGATCTTCATCCCCTGAGAACCATGACCCACTGCAATTCTTTGCATGCACACAACACTCCTTCCGGGTTTCGTAAATGTGGATGGTAGT